AGTTGTCCGAGAAACAGATGGACTTCTCCTTTCTCAGCGCAAATTCACTTTAGACCTTCTCCAAGAATTTGACTCTTTGCACTTGTCACATGTTTCTTCTCCACTCGATTCGTCTACTCGTTTGTCTACTCACATAGGGGAACCAGTGAAGGATCCCACCTTGTATCGTCATCTCCTTGGCAAACTTAACTACCTCACTCACACCCGCCCAGATTTATCCTTCACTGTCCAGCACCTCAGTCAGTACATGCAGAACCCTCGACAACCACACCTAGATGCAACACTCCGTGTTCTTCGCTATCTGCTCAAAGATCCTGGGCTAGGGCTTTTTATGTCTGCTTCCTCCTCCTTCAAGCTCCTAGCTTTTTGTGACTCCGATTGGGCCACTTGCCCGGATTCGAGGAAGTCGGTCAGTGGTTTTTACATTTCCCTTGGTACCTCTCCGATCTCTTAGAAGTCCAAGAAGCAAACTTCCATCTCGCTTAGTTCCGCCGAAGCAGAATACAGATCTATGCGGCGAGTGGTTGCAGAGCTCATATGGTTCGTTCGTCTTTTTGAGGATTTGTCAATTCCTATCTCTCTTCCAGTCCCTCTTCACTCCGATAGCCAAGTAGCAATTCACATAGCAAAAAACCCTGTTTTTCACGAACGGACGAAGCACGTTGAAATCGATTGTCATTTTGTACACAACCAATACCTAGCTAGGCTGATTTCGTTAACCTTTGTTCGATCTTCTGCCCAGTTGGCAGATCTCTTCACCAAACCACTGACCGGACCTCTTCATCGTGATCATTTGGGCAAGCTGGGTGTGTTATCTACCCCCACCAGCTTGAAGGGCGTGTTGGAGTCGATGGAGATGAGGCAGACAATTTGGTATTTGGACGTGAGGGTTTGAGGTGATAATTTGGGGGCAGACAATTTGGTATTTGGACGTGAGGGCTTGCGGTGATAATTTGGGCCTAATTGTGGTCTACACAATTGGGCATGGTCGCCCGACCCACTTATGGGTCTGCCCTGTACAGAATATAGTGTATAACACATGCTACACTATATTTTAGTTATTTTTCCCATATCTTTGTATTTAATTATTTGCTCCATCCTTGTATTTCTTGTATGTACAACTTTATCCTAGCAAATAGGACATTGCCACTTGGCAATATAGGATGTTGCCCTAAAAACATTCCTTCTGTATATAAATTGGGATTGTACACTTAATAACACACAATTATTCATTGAATATACAAAGCAGAAATCTACAGTTCCTTTCAAAATTGGAGGAAATATTTTTCACGTCATCGACTCTTTTTCAACCTTTGTTCCTCTAAATTGACTCTTTTACACGTAACGCTCTTCCTGAGTTTCTTTATCTTGCTAAAAAATAAGAACTTAATTTATATACACAGATAACGTAAAAAACTTTATATTATGTTTTAGCTGTTATTTCCATTTTCAGTTTTGAGACGAAGCTGCACCTGGTTTAATTTAAGACTTGATCAGTAGCTTCGGCTCTCTGCTTTACTAGTTGAACAAAAATGCAAACGTAATTGCATATGTAACTGAAGTGAAAGAGTTTTATTATGGTTAAGTTGTTTGACAAGGTGAAAATGTGTATCAATTAACCATGATTAGATAAAAGAAATTTATGTACAAATACATATCATGCATTTATTGATTTGATATAAAACCCTAATATAATTTTTTATGCTTTTTGTCTATCTGAGCTTTTCTTATTCTTTTTTCTTTCTTTTTCAGCACAGTAATTGGAATAATTTGGATTGAGGTATGATCCTTACTCCTTATTAGGTCTTTTGTTACCTGGGTTTTCTCTGGTTATTTGCTATTCAACATAGTAATGCGAAATATTTTGGGTTAAATCACAGTTGGAATTATTTTGTCAATTGAATATTTTATTCGTCAAAATAATTTTTTATTTTCGGACCAGAAAAAAGAACCTCAGTATCTATACAAATGGATGATGAAAATTAAAAAAAGAAAAAGGATAATGAAAACTAGGAGTAAATATAGGTCACTTGCTCATCCTTGGGGAAGCGACAGTTTGGGCCGGTAAGGCCCTAATAATTGGGATATGGGCTTCAAAGATTGGGCTAGGAACTCAACCTAACTACTTAGGGGGCAAGTGCACGAATAGCCGCTTTGAGGACAATTGTTTTAAGTAGCTCATTATAAAAATTGGCCAATTCATAAAATATTACTAATATTAGCCAAATATTACTAATATTAGTCAATTAGCTATTTGTAGCAAAAAAGATTAAATTTTTGTTTTCTTTTGAGTGAGTGCTATTATAATAGATTTGGTACATCTTAAGGAGCTTGAATCTCAATTTTTGGATAATTTGGTGAAGTTTTGAGGTGGTTTGAATTAAAAATTCGAAGTAAAAACTGAACATGAAAAAAGTGATTTGTGTATCACATATGTATCATATTTGTATCAATTGTATATCACATGTATATCTGTGTGTGAGATACATGCGTGATATATATTTGATACATGTGTCGTAGAAGAATTTATTGAACTCGATTAATTACGAATTTTAGTACAAAACCAGTCCAAATCACTTCCAATCTTCTTCAAATTTTGTATATTGACTTATCTATATGTTTTCAATAAATTTCAACTATACCCATTGAAAAAATTTCTTTTTTGCTTAGATTTTTTGGAATATTGCATATTCTTTTTTTGTATTTCAGCACCTTATTTGCTACTCCATCCATGCAGTTTTCTTTCCGTCTTTCATTTAATGTTGCTAATCACGCTTAAAAATATGGAAAGTGATTTTTGCATGTGATTCTTTGAGAGAGAGAATTTTAATTATGGAAGGTGATATATGTACTTGGCTAGTGTTGGTAAGTCTATGATTAATGGCTAGAGGTTGGTAAGTTGAGACTTATTTGGGACATTTGTGCAAGTTTAGCCGAAATTATTAAATTTTTAATGTTTATTCGCTTTAAAATCACCTTCAGATTCATGAGATTGAAGTTAAATATCTCGAGGCTAAAGCTCCAAACTTTAGACACACATATTTGAAGTTGTGCTTGCCAAAGTTTAACTTGGAATCCGTATGTTTGAATGAAGTCCAACTTCAGATATTCATGTTTGAAATTAGACCTTAGAGCCTAATTTTAAACATGAATATCAAAATTTAGGCTTTCAAGAACCACCTTGTAGAGGGGGACATCCCATAAAATCACTCAATCCGATCAGATAAGCAATTCTTATAATCACTCAATTCTTAAATTTTCATTAAGAATTAAAAGGTACATTTAAGATGAAATCCGATTTACAACATAAATGTTTTAACTAATGATGTAAAACAACGACAAAATATTATGAAATAAGCTTCAGCGGAAGAAAATGAATAAAAACGTGCAGTCTAAATTGGGTGCTAAGTGATGGATGGATGAGAATGAGAAGGGCCTGAAGGGAATACCTTGAGATGGAACTCCGATCCCAAAATTCGTAATACAGAATTGATTTTCTCAAACAATCTTACATAAATGTCTTAAATGAGTCTCAACTTACCAACCGTTAATTAATAATTATAAACTTACTAAAACTAACCAATCATATATAAAAACTAAAAATTCAAATAAATAAGGTTCTTTCTCTCCAAGAATCACACACAAATATCTCCTTTCATATTTTTAAGCGTGATCAACAATATTAGATGCAAGACGGAAAGGAAATTTTCATGGATTATGTAGCAAATAAGGTGATGAAATACAAGAAATATATAAATATAAGATTCAAAAAATCTAAGCAAAAAAGGATATTTTTCAATGAGTATGACTGAAATTCATTGCAAACATATAGATGAGTCAATATACAAAATCTGAGGAAGATTAGAGGTGATTTGGTATCAAAATTCGTAGTTAAAATCGAGTTCAAAAAATTCTTCTATGACACATGTATCACACATATATCTCACACATAGATATATATATGTGATACATATTGGATACAAATAATATATATATGTGATACACAAATGATACACAGTGTGATACACATATTATTTTTTTTCATGTTCAACTTTTACTTTGAATTTTCAATTCAAACCACCTCAAAACTCCACCAAATTATCCCAGAACTGAGAATTTCTTTAAGATGTACTCAATCTATTCTAATAACACCGACTTAAAAAGAAAGCAAACATTTGACCTTTTTTGATTATAAATGGCTAATTGACTAATATTGATAATATTTAATTAATATTAGTAATATTTTATAAATTGACTAATTTTGTATATGAAAGGGACAAAGAGAAATGACAATCCAGTCATAGAAATCAAGTTAATAACTAGGATAGTATATGTGTATCAAGTTGGCTGAACTTGCTAATCAGAATACCTTAGAAGGCATTTCTATGTGTTGTAATATTTCTGCCAATGTTTAAGCTTTTAATATATCTGATTCTTATTATAAGAAAAAGAAATTAATAAGCAGCAGCATGAAAAGAGTAACACGAGTACTATAGCCGGTTTCATGACCAGGCTTTTGAGAGGTTAAAAAAGTTTTACACTATTATTGCATTATAACTTGTTAGCTAGTAATTTATTTACTTTTAAGTTACTAATCCAGTTTCTACTAATTACCTTTTAAGAGACATAATAGCGTAGGACGTAGTAATTAGTTTTTCTTCTACATTTAAGTTATTTTGAGTTTAATATATATACTTATACTGAAAACTAATCAATACGTCTTACTCGGCAAAAGTTGTAGCCTTATGTTAACACCGTCTGCCACAGATCAAAATACTAGCTACCAGCGAACAACTCCCAGCAGCGCCAAACTACAAACCATCTTCCTATAATTAGTTACGATGACATCCTCTTATAGGGTATTTTCAGTACAATGTAGGCCCTTTTCTTTCCTTAGCATGGGCTTGTCTAAGTCAATTCAAACAAGTAATTGCCCCAACACTATCTATAAATTGAGGCACCACTTTTTACAAGTTCTTCACTGCACTTTTCTTATTATACTCTCTCTATTCAAAAACTAAATATATAGCTCAAATTAATTTCTCAAGACCTTAGAAAGATGAAGGCTGGTTCTTTTCTCGCAATGATCTTCGTTGTAACCTTGGTTCTCCTAGGGGAACTTCAGGCAAGCGAGGCAGTGACATGCAATGCCTCGCAGCTGAGTGAGTGTGTGGGGGCAGTCACGTCTTCACAGCCACCATCTTCGGCATGTTGCAGCAAAATGAGGGAGCAACAGCCTTGTCTGTGTGGGTACATGAAGGATCCCAGCCTGAGACAATATGTCAATAGTCCTAATGCTAGAAGGGTTGCTAATGCCTGTGGAGTTGCCGTTCCTAGTTGTTAGAATACTTATGTGTGCAAATGTAAAATCCTTTATTAATTACTGTTGCTTGTACTAAGGGAATTATAAGCCTATGTTGGCCCCTTTTACCTAAATAAAAAACGTTGTGATGCCACTGGATGCTGTTATGACAACCCTTCATTTTCTCTCACTCCTTTATTTGTACATCAATATGCTTTATGTTTAACATTACCAAAAAAAAAAAAAGGAAATTACCAACATATTTTACCAACCATAATTTTCGTTGGTAAATGACTGACGGATAATCAACGAATTAGAAACAAATCTTTTTACCAAAAAAATAATAGCGGATTACTAACGTTTTTTTTCTTTTTCTTTTTTGATCAAACTTTACCAACTGATGAATTCCGTTTGTAAGTATCACGGGTAAAATGTAACAATGTAATTTAGCAACAGATGCCAACGGATTAATTACCAACAAAAGAAAAGAAAAGGTTAACGCCTTTAAGGAGATACAGGCGGACAAGAACTTGACAAAGTCAAGCACATACAATACCCAGTACCACCAACCGGAGGCAGCATTCAAATCCACCCCAAACGACAAAACTGGGCCAATCATTCTTAGCCAAGACCAAAAGAACAGACTCTACCACCCATGACGTTTTTCTTTAATCATCAAGATCTTTGGAAAAACAAATTCCCCATCACCTATTGAAATTAAAATTAAAACATCTATGGAATCCCAGTGAACAACTAACGCTAATAGATCTAGGCCGAGATTTCTTTGTGGTAGAATTCGAGAAAGAAGAGAAAATAATGATTGCATTACACGTAGGCCCATGGTTCGTCATGGGACACTTCCTCTCCGTAAGAAATTGGGAACCGAATTTTGTTCCAGCGGAATAAAAAATACACGACACTGCCATCTGGATCCGACTGCCCAATTACCCATGGAGTTCTATGATAAAGAGATCCTGGAAATGGTGGGGAGAGGGGTTGGCAAGCTGCTGAAAATTGATACGTGCATCTCTGCTACCTTAAGAGGCACGTATGCACGGATCTGTATTCAGGTACCCATCGAGGTACCACTCCAAACGATGGTACTAATTGGTGAACATAAACAACTAATTGTGTACAAAGGGGCGGGCATCATGTGCAATGGGTGTGGGCGATTGGGCCACCTACTCAAGAATGCCCAAATCAACGATAGATAAGGGCAAATGATACAACAAAAATGTCGTCGGCAAGACATATTACCAACAAAAATGATGACCAAAAAGTGGTGGAATTCCCACGAAAAGCAAAATAGCAAGGGAGAACAAAGGGTTTCAAAGCCCAAGTATGACCAGTGGTAACGGAGAACAAATCGGGGAGCGGAAAGCAGTCACCAGATTCAGGTAAGTTCTTTATCCTTAGTAACATTGATGAGTTTGTGGGTGGCAGCAGGGCTATGAAACATGGTGGTGCTAGGGTTGCGGTAAATATGGGCCAAACGAAGCAGGCCCAAAACAAGCCACACAGGTCTTGTATAGCTAGCCCCAAACGGGACAGGTAGTCTAGGACATATGGGCCCAAGAAACAATTGTTCGGACCACTAGTGCACAACCCAAACTAACTGCTCAATTTAAAACTTGTGCCTAGTTTTGAACATACGCTGGGCATGCACCCCACCACTCACACACATAATTCCTCTCACGTGGCCCAAGGGGGAAGCACACACCCAATTCGGGTTGAAAATACCTAAAATGCAATCCCAAATCTAATACCCCCTGCTCTAACACAAGTCAACTTCTACAGTCCACCTATGGTGCGAAACCTGATCTCTTTAACAATATTACTAACAATGTAAAAGGTGAGAAGGATTTAATTACGCCTTCTCACACTACAACCAACCTTGAGTCTGATCATTACTCCTCCTCTACTGATTTGACCGATGCCGTCGCCTCTCAAAGATTTCTAATGATGAGAAATCTCCATGCATGGAAACCCAATAGAGAAGACCTTTGCTTAAATGGAAATGAAGGCACAACTGTGGAGGTAAACTCCACTACCATTCTAAACACTAAAAATGGAGGGGGAACAAAACAACCCAACAAACAATAGCAATATGTAGAACCAAGGGGAGGATCCAAATCAGATAAGGGTTTTATCTACCCCACTTCCCATGGACCACATTCCAACCTCATGGTTGGAGATGGTACTGCAGGGTATTGCCTTTCCCTTGAACTTCTCGATAGGGACAGTACCCATCTTAGTGGTAATCCAAAACCCACACTACTTGGCCAAATTGGTCACAACGAGCCTGAACTATGCCCTACTAAACTATGGTCACAAACTGTGGTTGGAAACTCTTATGCAAGCTCAGTATGCAATAAGCCAACAAACAATGACAACATACCAGTTAAGTTTTCTCATGCAACAGATAAGACACACTCTTCCCTTCTTCCCACTAGTCTCCCCAGGGGAGGGGATCCTCAACCCCCTTTTCTCTCAATGGACACTAGTGAAGACAATGACCCCATCTCCAAAGATAAGGTCGAAAATGTCCACGAGCACATAGAGGCCACCAATATAGAATTAGAGGAAATAATAGTAAGGCTAGGAGTGCCAAAGACCAAAGTTATGATTCTACAACTTGAGGAAACAATAGAGTTCAGAGGGCCTAGGAGAGAAATACTTATCGTACTATGCCCAAGAAGCATGGTAATGCATGGAGTAATCCTAAGATCAGCCTTAGAGCCAAACTCAGGAGGCTCAATTGTGAACTTAAAACCAGTAATGACCCAGTTAGCTCCCTAGAATCCACCGGGGATGCAGAACCCAGAAATCCAAACAATGAAGGGGAAATCCAAATGCCCGAAAAAGAAGACACAAACCAACCCAAGGTTACTGATGAATTTCATCATCTGGAATGCTAGGGTGATAAAAGTTGGGAATTTATGAGACATTGTGCAGAGATGATTAAGTTTCATAAGCCTGCCATATTGGTCCTCTTGGAAACCAGGATGACTGAGCACAAGGACCTCATTCAGGAACTGGGATTCATAGGGTAAATTTAGAACCCTACTGTAGGCTTGTCAGGAGGCATTGTCATCATGTGGAAAGATGTCATGCTGAAGATTGATGAAATCTCTACTACTCCCTAGGGCATCAATGTCATGGTCAAGGTAACTCCCTCTTCCACACCTTGGCTTTTTACTACAATTTATGCCATCAACACCTATGCTAACAGAAGGGCTCTATGGGACCAGCTTAGAACTATCTCTGATGGTTATAGGGGATCTGCCTAGTAGGGGAGACTTCAATGAAGTCCTAAGGGCTAGAGATAAGTGTGGGGAAACTGTATCTCTGCCCCAAAAGCAAACCTATTTTGACATTACCTAAATCACTAGAAGCTCGTTGACTTAGGTTGTAAGGTGAGTGAATACACTTAGACTAACATGAGGTATAGATACGAGTCAGTTAATCCTAGAGAGACTAGATAGGTGCTTTGCCAATGATGAATGGATCCATGATTACCATTCTAGTAATGTGAGTTACATTCCTAGAACGCACTTTGATCACTGACCTTTGTTGATCAGCTTATGGCCCAATGCTTTCAATGCCACATCCAAGCCTTTTAGGTTTGAACCCATGTGGCGTAATCACTCATCATTCACCAACAATATCCAACAGTCCTATAAAGGGTGTGGTAGCCTTGAAAGAGGCAATGTTCCAGTCCAGAGCTGTATTTGGTAATATATTCCATAAGAAGAAACATATTATGGCCATACTTGGGGGTATTCAGAACCCAATGCCTACCCGTTCAACATCTTTCTTCAGAATCTAGAGGGTCAGCTTCTGGAGGAATACTCCTCTATTCTCAAATATGAAGATGTCTTTTGGAAAACTAAGTCTAGGATCAACTAGATAATGAAGGGTGATGTTAATACTAGATTCTTCCATATCTCTACCCTCAATAGGAGGAGAAGGAACAAAATCATGGCCTTGCAAGATGATATAGGGAACTGGATTGAGGAGCAACAGGAAATCCAAAACACCATCTACCACTACTACTCCAAGTTATTCACCACTGAACACCTAGGCCCCCACCCCCTGGAAGAGCATAGTCTATGATGCACACACTCTGTCCAATAGGGAGCAAGCTAATCTGAATGCTCCCGTAAGGAGTAATGAAATAAAGGTTGCCATGTTCTCCGTCAAACCTACAAAGTCCCTCGGGAGAAGTCCTGCGGCAGGCCATAAAATCTGCGCCCTTGACTAACAATAAAGCCGAGTATGAAGCTTTGATTGTAGAGCTTGAATTGTCCCGAGAACTAGACTCCAAGGTCATCGAAATCAAATGCGATTCCCAAGTACAGTTATACAGTAGATCACTACAAGGCCCGGGCAGCTCGATGCTTGGGCACCTCTGAAGCTAATTACGTCATGAGAGAGATTCACGAAGGAATTTGTGAAAATCATTCAAGTGTAGACTTATTGGTATTAAAATTAGTTAGGGCAGGATACTACTGGCCCATGATAGAACAAGGCGCTAAGTCATTCATTTAGAAATGCGACAAGGGTCAACGCCATGCGCAGTTAGTGCACCAATCGGTAGAGCTACTTCACTCAATATTATCCCCATGACCATTCATGAAATGGGGGATGAACATAGTCGGTCTGCTGCCATCGGCTCCCGGTAAGGTTTTAACTGATTACTTCATGAAGTGGGTTGAATAAGGTCCTTACCAAGGAATCGACAAGCACGAAGTGGTCGATTTATGGGAGAACATAATCTGCCGTTTCGGAATGCCAAAGGATATTGCATGCGATAAAGAGCCATAGTTCATAGGCTCAAAGGTCACAAAATTCCTTGAAGACTTGAAGATTAAAAGAATCACATATTCTCCATACCACATGAGCACAAATGGGTGGTGGAATCAACCAATAAGGTGATTATTCAAAACCTCAAAAAGAGGTTGGAAGCAACAAAAGGCAAGTGGCCCAAGAGTTGCCGGGAGTGTTATGGGTATATCGGGAAATGACCAAGTCAAACACGGGAGAGACACCTTTCTCTCTTGTATACGGAGCAAAAGCTCTGATCCCGGTAGAAGCCGGAGAACCTACCTTGAGGTACTTCTTGGTGGACGAAAAAACAATTAACAA